ATTGGAGTGATTCCGACTTCGATTTTCTTCGGAGATTCTTGAGGTGCGCACTGCGTATAATTCCCAATGAGGACGAAATAGCTAGGAAGTGCTTGCCAAATTTCCAGTATAGGGCGAGTTCACAAATGCCCGATGAAAATGTTTAGGCCTATTCATACAATTCGCAATGTCGATTCCTCGCTTTCATGTCTGATGCTATCAAATTCGATGCATGCCTGCTGAGTAAAAATATTGCAACTAATATCTTTTCATCCATCTCCTATAATCAACCAGCGGATATACTAAATAAACAGTCAGAAAACAGAGCCGGGGATGACTATTCCAAAGCTGACCGAACGGACGACCAGACCAGACAAGCATATCAGGAAGGACCTCTCAGTGCCTTACCATGCGGCCAACCATCGCCATACCTGTCAGTGAATAAGAGACACCAAGAAAAGCTCGACAGAACTGCTGACATCTGCTGTAAGCTGACCGAACAATCGTTTGGTAATGAGGAAGACCTTCAACAACAAATGAAGCGAATTCACTCCGGTGGAGTTTATATGCCTCTCGGAACATCGAGACATCCAGTGCGAGAATCTGAGCCGTGAAATACGCCCCCCATTTCCAAGTTGATACATCGCAACTAGTGTTTATATCTTTAGTGGTAAGACTCTAATGCAAGCTGATCCGAGTGCAAATGAGCTGAATGGAAGCGACCAAGAGATGCGCAGTGTATGACCTGGCAATGAGTTACGAAACGAGTGACCAGCAAACTAAGTCGGGTGAGCAACTGCCGCCTCCCTGGATAGGGACTCCGAGACTCAAATTACCAGTAGTTAATGATATTATTGGGAAGTGCGTGTTCGCGTCATGTGAATTCCGTGAAAATGGCGTGCGTTACGCTGTATCTGGTCTGTGTGAGAGCAGCGCCCACGGTTGATTAGCAGATTGCAGAGGACAGGTTGATTTTTTTGCCACTAGCCTCAGGGTGGTGGCCGATATCCATTTGAGGATTCGGCGGGTGCCGTTGCTGAAGGTTTCCAACTAGAACGCAGCACCTGTCCCGGGTTTCCAAGCGATCTAACACACACTGGCTTCCATTCTATTCGGGAATACTTGCCTGAAAACAGCACATGGAAAGGATAAGTAAAAGGACGGGATATGATTTCTGTACTTAACAAGAGGAGTTGACGACATCAACGGTACACAATTGATATACGTCGAAATATATTTCTGACGACTGTGCATTAGTACTTTCGTTGTAACATACCGTTACTCAAATTGTACCATTTGCTATCTCTCACTAAATTCTCAGC